ACCACTGTTAGACTCAAATGTGCTCAGTAAATCAGTGATGCGCAATGGCGCAAATGTGCAATGGAGACAGATGTAGTGTGTGAGTGTGAGTGTCTGCATGTTTGTGTGTGTGTGTGCGGTCCGTGGCTCTTTTTTAGGCAGCTAATGTTAGGAAGTGACTGAACTCCCATCAAACTTTGTTACTCTGGTGAGCGTGTCACATGTTGCGACGATGGCTGTCTATTTGCATATTTTAATTAAATAGCTGGAATTTGGAATTAATCACATCCTAAATTTGTGGTGTAATTATATAGTGTTTGTCCTTGACTTTGGCAGCGTCACCCACCCATGAATAAATTCATCATAGTCCTGTGATGGCAGACAAAGTTACGCTGACACCGGCAAACTTTGTTTCCTCCACTTACCCCTCAATTACCCTCTTTTACTTTCTTTTCTGACACAATAAATCACATACTGTCACACTGTCTTTGTCATCGGGCCCCTGTGACAATTTGATCACAATGATGTGTGGGTGGAAAGAGAGCGGTTGGTGTGTGTGTGTGTGTGTGTGTGTGTGTGTGTGTGTGCGTGTTTTGGGATTTCTGAATAACCAGTGTACTCGCTAATATAAAGGGCCTCTTTGACAAACCGGACATGACCAAAGTGTCGTGTGTTCCCATGGCACCCTGAAGAAGCTGCTGTGTGCTCAGAGTTGCTGATTGGGCAAAGACAGTGCCACCACACTGTATTCACTTCTTCACATGTGTGGTATTCAGACTTACATCACACAGAGATGGGAGACCAACCTGTTTTCAGTTTTTCAGATAAGTAATAAAACCTCTTTGGATGACATTTTTTCAGAAAAATGTGCATAATAAATTGTAATAAAATGTTAACATATGAAATCTAAAATGTCTATAGCACATTACCATAGGACAAACAATCCAATAAATGTTTGGAAACGTGAGTGTCTGCTCAAATAATGTCACCAAAAAATAAGAATGTGGCATGAATGCAGGAGCAAAAAAGATGCAAATGGCCTATTTAGACCAAAATTCTACAACAGACAAAAATCAAGATGTTGAAAAGCCCAAATAACTGGAAGAAGATTCTATCTGTACACTATCCTGTATCCGCATAGTGTACAGATGCAATGTAACCACATTGTGGTCATTAGCGCTTTTAATTAAGAATGCAAGTTCAGCAGATGGGTATAAATCCATTGCGTTTTTCCTCCCAAAATGAAAACTGGCACCTGTCATTGTCCATCTGCTTTATTTCCTGTTCTTGTGATTTAATATCAGCAGCTAATAAACCATCACAAGCCTGAGCTTCAGCCATGTGTATGCTTCATGCTGTGCTTAGACTGAGTGCTTTGATGCTGCACTTTGGATCATTTTAACCTGTTAGGGAGAGGAGATGAAAAATTTTCATTTTATATAAAGTTTTATATGAATGGTTCATTTATGCTGAGAGTAACACTGCATAAAATGTGATCAGATGTTGTTTAAATGTTTGATTAAATCCTCACATTTCCTTCTCAGTTTGCCGCTGATGTTTTGAAATTCAACTTCACCTGTTTACACTCACTTCATGTCTGCTGTTTCAAGGTAGATTTCTGACCAAATGACAACTGAGTGGGGAAAAAGAAGGGGCTAACAATACATCCTTTAAGGCAGAAAGTAGCTTAATTGCTTTTTTGGCCACTCGGGAGCAGTGAAACAAGCTATAAACACAATCAACATTGACATAAAAAGGTGGAATGGTGAACTTGTTACCAAACAGCTGCCCTTTTATACTTCCAGCAGACGCGAGGCAACATGAGTATTTATTTCGAGCCATATAGGTGACCACTTGAAGAAAGTCTCCTATTACCTCTTAGTTGTTCTGCACCAACTGCAGAGGGAAATGACTTGTTAGCTGCTAAATGCTCCACTATGTTCATCAGCTAGAATAACCGGAGCTTTTTCCCCGCCAAAAACAGCTGCCTTTCGCGTCTAGAAATGAGGTTGATGAGAGCGTGGAGAATTAACCGAAACAGAAAACCAAAAAACAATGAGCTGAAAGATGCTAGAATGGCTAGACTTAGACTAACTAAAGTGAGATGATAATTTTCTATGGTTTCTATGGGTTGTCATAAAACATTTGACACACTGTTAATTAAAAAAATTGATTAGTGCAGCTTTAAAATAGTTTTAGGAATATTGTGCACTGTTTAGCATGCTGCTACAAATTTCTCACCTATTATTGTCATCACTCCAAAGAATCTATGCTAAATGTTAGCATGGCACATGTGTGTGAGTGATCTACACATGACATGACACATGATGGTTAGCTTGAACAACTTCTTCAAGCCACAACTTCTATGACCCTCAAAAAAAAGGTTTTTTTTTTTCTTTACCACAGATGCTCCACACTTGGTCCCCTGAGGCCTCCTGACCCACTGGTGTCTGAGTACATTATGATTAGCCATGCTACAGGAAATGAAGAGGCCTGGGGTGAGACTGATAAAGGGAGAGGAACTTTTCAGCAGCCGGAGTAGTCAGGGTCAAGGGTCACATGTCATTCATCGATGTCAGGCTTCTCCCCGCCGCCCCTCTCTGAATGCTAATCACTCACACACTGCTACAACAATACGATTAGACTTGATTAAAACAGTCCATTAGCATAGAACTCAGAGGAGGGTGAGCACAATACTGACAAAACTGCCCGCTCTCCCCGATAACACATTCAGTCTGTGACAGTTTTCTTGTTTCAAGAATACAACTGAATGGCCTCATCAGTGGTCAAGTCTTTAGCAAGCCACTAGCCCAGGAAACAACGTAGCAATCAGCTTCTTGTGTGTTTCCAACAAGCATATTTTCTGCCCTTCCAGTAGTGTTGTGTCGCGATCCCAAAGCTACTCTATCATTGTAACCAGGAACTAGTTATTGATCAGGTTTTACTGCATGGTGCAGTGGAGGCCATCAGTTAACCTCCTCCCCTCTGGGAGGTGACTAATCATTTCCCGGGGTGCGGCGATGAGAATTTTGACTGTGGTAATCTTTGGTATAAATGGAGATTAACCGCCATGTGGGGTGATGACTCTCTTCTTTGTCTTTTTTGTCTGGATGGGGATCTGCTTGCCTTATCTTATCGCTCTGCCTCATTTCTCCGGGGCAGTTCCCCGCCGTTATCAGCACAGCTCCATCTACATGGAAATCAAAGCCTTTGCAGAAGTGGAATACGATTAGGGAGGGGGAGAAAAGTCTAATCTTTCCCCTCTTGATTCATGCTAATAACGCACCGCAGCAACCTAGGAAGAGCTGAGGGACAACAACAACAACAACAACAACAACAACACACTCTCTCTGTTGTTGTGAAGGTAGATGGATGAATGAACAAGGTGGCACAAGAGCGATGTGTTCATGTGTAACTCATGAAACATTTCATCTGTGAGGCTTCTTTTTGTCTGTGGGCCTTGAAAATGAGGATTAACTCTCGCTTCACAGGAACCAGCTGCCTGATACTGACCTCCTTTGTTTTTTAATGACTAAAGACTAGATGCCTGTGTGCATTTGCGCGTGTGTGTGTGTGCGCACAAGCAGGGGTGGCCGCTAAAGGGAGGGCGGGTTACAGAGGGGATTAGAACCCACACAGCAGCCTCCCTCCCCAGTAAACAAAAGTACATGGTGCTGTACAGTGTGTGTGTGAGTGTGTGTGTAAATGTATAACATGCCACTGCCACTGCTGGTGACATCAGACAAAAAGAGAAAGACTGAGTCCATCTGTGAAAGCAACGGGATTAAGCTGTGCTCAAGCCAAAAGCTACATGTCAATCAACCGCTAAGTGTATGTGCGAGTGTGTGTACTTCTGCCAGTGTGTTACACACACCACTGTACACCCGCATATACACACAGCTCTCGTCCGGCAGTGGGGGGAGGGAGGACCCCAACACTGTTGTTTTGTAATCTGTGGGATGGAGTGAAGCCAGCCATACATCAATCACACTCCGTGGTTGCAACACATCAACAAAAAATTGAAAGGAAAAACTTTTTTTTTATAGTGTGTGAACTCTTTTTTTCACCAAAGCATGAATCAGAACTGACTGACATCTTTTTGTAATGTGGAACGTAAAAAAAGCTTTACAAAAACAAGAATGTTGACATTTGAGATGTAACAAAAAATTTTTCATGCCGACTTTTATCTGCTGGAATGTCCTAGACAGAGAAGAAGAAGCTTGTTGTTGCGCTGTCAGGAACCCCAACTGCTCACCCATAATGCACCAGCACTTCTGCATGGCTCCCTGTGGGGGCCAGTCTGAAGCCACGCATGTGTAGGTTGCAGCCATTCACAAAGGTCAAGACAGTCATACAGTAGGTGTGTATCTGTGAGGGGGCCTGACCTGGATGTATCAGCCCCCTCAGTAGCAGAGCATGAAGGTGGGGGGTCATTATGCCCCCACGTGCCGTGTATTAGTGATTGAAGTTGGCTCGCTCCCCTACACCTTTCACCCCGGTTGGAGGGGGAAATTGAAATCAATACAGCCTATGATGAGGCGACTGGAGTGGGACAGGGTGAGGGAAGTGGAAGAAGGAGGGGGGAGCTTCGGCTTGATGGATGGCTGGTTAAAGGGGGCCGATCAATTACCCTGATGGATTGCTTTTTGGGGATTTCAGAAATGAGAGGGATCTCTGCTCCTTAAAGACCGATTGTCCACTGAAGGAGGAGAAATGGATGGGAGACTGCTCCACTACAGTTTGCATAACATCCTGCAAGGCTGGAATATCATTCACTTACATCTTTGTTGTTGTGAGAAGTGGCAACTGGTCCCTCCTCCTCTCCTCAATCCTTTATTTTTCGAAAATGTTTAATCCCCCCGCCCCCACCCTTCCCCCTATCCACACATTCTCCCTCTAACGGATCCCCTCTCTCTACATTATTCTCTATGCATTTTAATTTTTTTTCTGTCACCGGGGGCCCAGTTTCCCCGCCCACTCTCCTCATTTTCGCCTGAGTCTAGAATAGTGGAGCCAAGAAATAGTTAATCTCTCCGGCTGCTGCTATGATTGGCCGCTGTATGCAGCCTTCAGCCTCCTTGAATGAGAAACAGGGGTAACCAGGCAACTTCAGAACAAGAGAGAAGGGGGGAAAAGAAAATATAGCTTTTCTGGATCTTAGAATTGTGGAAGAATTTTGAACATGTAAAGAGCAAGGCAATGTGATTTCACCTTGTGTGTCCGGCAAATGGAATTAACAAATGGATTTTCTTAAACACGCTCTCTCTCTCTCTTTCTCTCTCCCTCTCAATGGGGGGAAAATAGAGCGCTCAAATGAAGGGGACACAGATGTGGATTAAAACGCATAAATGGGACACTCCAGAGAAGCATCCACTGAGAAAAGGTGAGTGGCAGCTCCGTTCTGAGTTTCTCTATTAACGGGAGTCTTTAAAACTGAGAGACTGTAGAGCTGTTTAAGGATGCAAGGCAGCTCAGCGACATGTCAAGATTTATGGATAGGATGCGTTGTCCGCTGAATGAAAATGGGTTGCGGAACAGCTATGGATGACTGAGAAACAGCCACATATACGTTTAAACGAAACAAATAAGATCATCAATGATCTCGTGAGTCAGATCATCGATGGTGCTTGGTGGATTTGAATGTGGAGTCCTTTAAAGCGCAAACGCCGGTCTCCTGTCAAATACCCTGCTGTCCCATATCGAATTGCGCACAAATTAGAAAAGGACATTTCCTGTTGAAATGATTTCGATACATGATTTACGCAAATAGGTTGTTGCTTTATAAGATGCCCTCTAAAGATACAAGTATCAGGAAAAGCTAACAGCTTTTTCAACCACGTCTGAACCCCCTCCCTCCCCAAATATTCAAATGAAAAGATGTCCTGCTGCAACAGCAGTAAGTCATCTTCAAGCCACTGCGGGTTAACCCGCTCGGATGCTGAGTAAATGATGGCGCATATGTTGACAAATGTATTGATTTCTGTTCTGAAACGGTTTTAAAATACTCAGCAGGCTGTATGTATGAGGGGAAGAGTACCTGTGGATGGATGTTGGATGGGAGCGCGCAGCGCAGCAGCGCCGGTCTGATCGGCAACGCGGAGTCAAAGTCTGCCTCAAACCAGTGCAGAGGCCTTTAGAAGAGTGAGTCCTCTGGTCTTCATTCACGTTCAAGGGTCACTGTGGGGATGAAAACAATCAGGTTAATTGTGGACACATCTGGGGGGGGGGGGGGGCTGCGTCAGGGCGTACAGTTGCACCCACATTTGGATTTTCCCGATGAGAGATGTGGGCCAATGCTTCTCATACACTTGGATGCATCTTTACATCTTTGTATACTCTCCTTTTGGTCTTATGTGCAACAATAGTGACTCTATTAATCTATAAGGAGCCAAACAGCACTGTAAAAATATTAATATTAATAGGTCACGTTATCTGATATGAGTCTTGGTTTCTTAAAAAAAGCGAAAAATAAGAGTTGTGCTTTGCTCAATGCTTTGTTCTAAGACTAACATTGAAACATTTCTTAAGTAATCTTCATGAGGGGCTACATGACCAGTGTTGTCCACTATTTAACCCCCCCACACACACACACCCCTTGGGTGAAGCTGAATATAAGCCAACAAGACTAGTTCAAATACACAGTTCAGTACTGGACCATATGTCTATCATGAAGCCATGTGGTTTCTGCTTGAGTGCTAATGTAAGAGCAGGCCTAGATAGAAAATGGCTGTAGAAAGGCGTTATCAAAACAGCTAGCAGCTATAAAACGAGCTGCTGGTGAAATAATGTGGCTCACCTACATCACATTGGCTCACAGGCCATGTTTATGTTGCGGCTTGGCGGGATATAAGTAAAGGTCATTGTTTTGACGTTAGTAACAAAGTTCATTGGTGACTTCTGCCAATCGGCCAAACTGCCTGTAGTAATCTCCTTACAGAGGATGTTCTGCAATAGATCCTAAGCTGCACTCACTGGCTCAATTGTAGGACACATGCACACACATACATACAGTACAATTTCCAGTTGTCATCCCAAGACAGTTGTTTGCAGCCCAGTGTGAGTTGTGGGGCTTAAGATGGTGCTGAACAAAACACAAGAGAGCATTAACTTCTCCAGTAGGGGCTTCTTTGTTGGGTCTCCCACTGGAATCAAGATACTTAATTTAGCTCCTGCTAGTGGATGTGTGAGCTATATCTTATCCGATAAAGACCATAATGCCTTTTCCCCTTTTGCAATTATTGTAAAATGGTGAAAGTGGTTTGGCTGTTTCTTTTTCATGTTATCTCAGCACAATTACAACAATGTGGGGACAACATTTCTGCTGGTTGTTGTTTGGCACTCCTTCTGAAATCCTTGGGGTCGTCTCACCCATTTGCTGTAGTATTGACTCTTGCCTTTTGTCTTGTTGAAAGCCTGGTGTATTATCACATTTGTCGTTTCTCTTCATGTTGCGGTGGCATTACCTCAACTTGAACCCCCTTAAGATTTCCCAAGTGCTCTGAGATAATGCATCTAATGAACAGGGGTTACACTGACATTAAAGTAGCGTTTCAGCGTTAGACGCGCAATTGCTGGAGTGGCCTGAATCTTTCATAAACGTGGTTTTAATGAGCTTGCAAGATTGTGTCTGAGTTCTCGTTTTGCTGGTGGCCTTATCACATCTAGTTTTTCATTAATGAGGATGTTGCCCCTGGCAGCAGCAGGTCAGAGGTGATCTCGGTTGCCTCAGTTGAAAAGATTTCTCAGATAGTGGTGCATTGGATGCTGAATGGAGCACATGCTCCATTGAGCGTAATCAACATGACAGGTGCATCTGAAGTTGAGAGTGCAATGGGAGGGTTGTGGCAACTAAATCAGTCAGAAGCAAAGACTCAAACTACAAGCTGTAAGCTGTAATAGCTATAGTTTAAAGGAATTAATTAGACATTTTGGGAAATAGGAAACTTAACAGGGTTAAAGATGGTGCATTTCATGAGTTTTGGACCCGCAGGAAGTGATGAAATCATGTGACCTTTGGATGGTGACCTTCGTCATCATAGGTGACTTTTGTTGTCATTGTAACATGTTTGTTTATGTTTAGGCACCAAAAATACTTGGTTAGGTCTACGATTAGATTGTGATTTGGGTTCAAATAACTTATGTACATAAGTTAAAATATGTCATCGTTGACTTGGTTTCACACGGGACACGAACACGAACGTCCTGGGAGAAAGTCCTACTGTATGTTTCTTTGACCCATCCACGCACTCCAACCACCTCCCTACACAGACTTTCTTTATGACAATGTTTTCTCTATGACATTTGCACTTAAAATGACACGCCGTCTCTGCACAATCGTCAGTACAGAGTAAATCTTGTGAAATGACACGTGAAAAGCAAAAACGCAATAATACACTACGTGACTTTGTCGTGTTATTCATACACCATTTGGTGATGCCAGGCTGAATAATGGTAACAATTCTTTCTTATTACCCAGTCTCTCGCTGACATCAACAAGTTGTTGTATAAAACCTGAAAATGGAAAATATTTAAATGAACATTTCCTTTCCAATATGTTTGGGCTGGACATGTTCCAGTAATGAAATTGGAAATAGGCCCACTGAATTCAGCCTCCACAGAACAGAAGACCAGGCTATACATCACAATTCTATATCCATTCATATCCTGTTAAATATGAATTCATTAATATTTCCAATATCCTTTTGCAAAATGGGACCATTCTGTTTACAAAAGTATCAAAGTGCACTTCATTGTTGTTATTGAATTACATGCTGAAATGAGAAACAAAACAAAGAGGTAAGTTATCTGAAGAGTAAAACAGTTAGGTCAGTAAATGTGCCAGTGGCAGTCAAGGCTTATCTAATGTTTCCATCAATTTACATGTAATTTTGTCAGTTATAGATATATGGGTACATTCTGCAAAAACAGCAGTCAAGCACCATTGACTTCAAGTGTTTTCTCACAGTTATTGCACTGACCCTGTTGAGTTGACAATGAGGTGGTGACCTCAACACTATAGTGTTGACAGTGTTACTGGAATCAAATGGGGCAGTGAATTGCTGGCCCGTCACACAATTATTTCCATTGTGTAGAGCGGGGGGGGGGGGGCTAGTAATCCTTATGCCTTGGCCTGTAACATCTGGTGAGTGAGTGAAGTGTTCAGTGTGAAGCCAGCAGTGTCAGTCTGCCTTCCATGTTCACCCAGAGCAGCCATCACTGCCCGCTTCACGTCCAGAGGACTGGGCATCTTCAATGCATCAACGACACCAGCCATCACAAGGGACATGTAGCATGCCAAACCAGTGATTCATTAGGACTCAATTAGCTGGGAGGCATGGGGCGCCCTGCCATATGTCTCGAGGTTCTACGGCAATCTGTACCCACTCTTTACTACTGTACTATCAACTGTCTTTGGCACTGTACAGTCTGTATATGTGTGTTGCACTAGTGCTATACAGTACCAGCACTGGGCTACAGTCTGTTCCTTTTCAAGGGCTGTCTTCTTTGTACTATTAAAACAAGTCAGCAGTAGAGATTTAGCGTCTCTGTCTCCAACCACCCAGGTTCTGAGCTGGAAATGAGTCACAATGACCTTCAGCTCAACTCATGTTGCGCCAGTTGGCTCCGTATGAAATACTCATCCATCTACTGAAGTATGAGGCTGTGGAGCTCCAGATACTGTAAATCTTAGGAGCTAAGAAAGGCCCCGCTCAATATCGACTTTGCCTCGCTTGCCAAGAGGCAGCGTGTGCTGCCGACAAGATCTATCCACCCTCAAATCTAGTTTGTCTTCTTATCTGTGCCAAGGTAAAGGACCCCCTCACCCCATGCTCCGTGCCCCCACCACCCAATCAGACTGTTCCACAAACCCGAAATTAATGAAATTAAATTGGAGCAGAGAGTCGCCTTAAGGAGAGCAAGGCCAATGAACACACCAAGCTCCAGATATGTGATGTGATATGATGTGACAAGGCACATGCACATGCTGTCTATGCATGTAAGCTGGCGTGTGATATGTATCAATGACTGATATTAAATGTCAATACTACTAATTTGGTATCCAAGCTGCCACTGGGCTATTTGTTACACTGATGTTAAATTTTCTAAAGGTTATGCACATTTAAAGTAAGAAACAGCAGTTTCAGCTTCCATAATGCAATTTTTTTAATGAAATGGGTGGGATATAATTTTAAGAGGGATTTATTCAAATCATTCAGGTGTTTGATCGTATTGCTAAAAAGTGGCCAGGGCTTTGACATCATGAGTCTAGAGCAGGGGGTTTGTGTGAGGCAGGCCTCCCCAGGGGGGCTCCAAACAGTTTCAGGGGAGGCTCAGTGAATGGAAGTGAAACAACATTACTTATTGCATTAGTTATCAAAAGGA